CTGTTGAGTGAAATGGGTTCAGGACCCTCTTACCAAAGCTGGTAAACACAGCTTCAGCAACTGGCATACACTATGTCTGAATCTGAATCTAAAAGGGAAAGGATGGATGATTAATTTTCTCTTTCTATTAGCAAATTTAAAAAAAAAAAAAAAAACAAGAACTTGCAAGACACTCGTTTATTTCTGTGTATTGCTTGTTGTAATTTTCTGTCTTTGTTTTCTCTCCTCTTCCTGTTCCCTTGAATTTGACAGTTAAATGCCATGGCCAACCGAGCTGCTGGGAAGGGTTATGAGAATGAAGATAATTATGATAACATTCGCTTTAAATTTATTGGCATAGAAAACATCCATGTGATGCGGAGCAGCTTGCAGAAACTCCTGGAAGGTAGGTACAGGCCCTGCAAGTGGCCAGTCTTCATCATCTGTGGCTGCTTTGGAACAGAACCTGCTGCTGAATCTATGAGCCCTACGTGCACAAATGCGTGTGGACTTGGGTGTTGTGGGGGAAGCAGACGAGCAAAGTCAGTATCGTACTGTGTTCACTGTATTGAAGTAGCTGAAAGTATTAATATTTTTAAAAATTCTTTCCTGCTGCACATTTTATTTATTATTGTGCTTAGTTTTGCAGAGGTTCAAAAATAGCAGCTAATATCTTAGGGGGAAAAAATGTGAAGTAAGGTGGAAGAAATACTTACTGAGCCATTGGAGATCAAGAGATGAATCAGGCACATATTTTCCCTAATGCGTTTCTGGAGAAGTGCCATTAAAGGCTTGGAGCAAACCAGCATCCCCTGCTAGCTGGTTTCCAGCACCATGGCCATCCTCATGCTGACAAAGACAGTGCAATGGTAGACGCTGCAAATCGTTCCGCTTGGTCCCTGTGCTTAGTTTTCCACAATGTAATACAAGTGCTGTCGTTCAAAATATGAGTTTAATATTTTCGTAACCAGCCTAATGGTCGTCTTCCTTCAAAATAGTTAAATAACTGATGTTACCAATTGCTTGGCCAGGTGGCACTGCGGGGTCTGAGGTGACCTTGGAGAAAACTGAGGCTATTCACATGACCAAGAGATTGTCCTGATCACACGTATAAGTCCTCAATTGCCTGTTCCTGGCAGATTTATTTTGCAGTGGAAGAAGAGGCAGGATAAATACTTGTTTACTCCCATATTCTTCTTTGACAGTGATAAAATCTCTCTTGCTGGTGCTTATGGATTATTGAGCTGTGTTACTGTCAGTCTTCTCTCTGCTGGGTTTCAATACAGCATCCGAGTTGCCTGCGAGGTTAAACGTGTTATTTCTCTCTCTAAATTAGAACTCTCCTTTCTTCAGGTCTTTGTGTTGGTAACTGCATGTTACTGGTTGTTAGATGTGTGTGTGATGGTGATTTATAGTGAAGTAACAGATCACCAAACACTTTCTTTGTTGGAAAAAACTCAGCCAAAAAAAATAGTTACTGTTTAAAAAAAAGAGGAGGAGGTTTTCAGATCCTCAGGTTCTCTCATAACTAAAAATTTCTGGTTGGTGTATTCTGGTTTGTATCCTTTAGACAGGATGTTGCTGCTGACACTTAAAAAAGTGTGGAGATATTGGCTTTTTTGGATTTACTAGGCTCTGTTGCTGTGAAGAGGTAATGAGGAGGTGGCAAAAAAAAAAGATGTTAAGGGTGTGTCAGCTAATTCCTCTGTTTCTGTTTGTAGTGTGTGAAATGAAGTCACCTTCAATGAGTGATTTCCTCACTGGGCTGGAGAACTCAGGGTGGTTACGGCACATTAAGGCTGTGATGGATGCAGGCGTCTTTCTTGCCAAGGTAAAACTGTACCCCAGCCTGCAGGGGAAATAAAATAAAATAAAATGTGCTTGTCTGTTAGGGACTGACTGCTCCAGGGCTGGGAAGTTGCCTCTGGAGAGAAGGTGGGGAAATGTTGGTATTGAGGTTTGGGCTCAGCTCTCAAACCCAAGCCTGCAGGCGGAGCACAGGAGGTGGGTTGCCCAGCTGGCTCTGCCCTGGGTGCTCCCTGGGACTAAATAAAATGCCGTAGGGGTTGAGACATTGTCCTGTTCACTGGACTGTAACAAGCAGTTATCTGGGCTTTGTTAGGACTCATTTCAAACAAAAATCACAGAATGTGAATAAATGACCTTTAAAAATGCGTATTTAGTAGTGTGAACAACTCATAACCCTGTGCTGGTGAGTTATTCAACTGCTCTGCTTTAAAGGAGGGATTGTTTAGGCCAGTTCATTTTCTACTGGGTCTGTGTGATGTTAATTTTGATTACTGAACGCAGGCCTTGTTTCTGCAGAGCTTGTGGCTTTGCAGGTCAGGCAAAAGGAGAGACCACTAAGGCATGTGGCTCTTCAGTAATGACAAGGGGCACGCAGTCAACATGTGGTAAGAGTAGTGCCCTTCTGTAAATACTGGCTTTTCTCTTAAAATTTTCTCATGTACAAAGCTATTTTATGTTTTTCTTCCACCACAGGTACACAGGGAAGAAGGGGATCCGTGTGGGAGGGAGTTGGGATGAGCTTTTCTAATTTTTCTTGAGAATTTCCTAGTCCCCGTGTGTTCAGTTACTATTCTTTATTCATCTACCAGATTTTTCCTCAGAAGAAGGGACTGAGAATTCCTGGCCTTTCAGAAGACTCACCGTTTTGAGATGAGAGGGTCTTTGTTTCTCGGCAGCCTGTGTTGCTGACGAGCTGCGCTGCGGCATTTTATTCTGGTTGGGATTCCCTGTGGGTTGATGGCCACGTGCCCAGAAATGTTGCATTTTCATGGTCCAGATGAGAAATGACATATTTTTCCCTTGGGTTTTAGGCCAGTCAGGTAAATGCAGAGGAAAGGATAAGGATAGCATTTAATTACGGTAATGAACCTAGAAAGCTGCTAAACTGTTGTGTCTGGTTTCTCCTTCGCAGGCCGTGAAAGATGAAAAAGCCAGTGTGTTGGTGCACTGCTCCGACGGGTGGGATCGCACGGCACAGGTCTGCTCCCTGGCCAGCCTCCTCTTAGATCCCTTTTACAGGACTTTTAAAGGCTTCATGGTAAGAACACCGATGTTGGAATTCCAAAAATCACAAGTGCTTCCTGGATTTGAAATGTAAACAGGCCCTAATTAAACGTTTTGGGCTACTTCCTGGAACAAACAGTAGGTGACCTATATAAAACCAGCTTTGATTCTATAAACAAGCTTTAATTACTCCGAATGGTATGGGCACAAAACTGCAGGGGTTGATTTACAATTCCCAAATCTTTGTTTCCTCAAATGTCCACATGAGAGCTGCTAATGAGACATTTCAGCAAGCGAGGAGTGAGAGAAGGATGCAGCTCTGGCAGCAATCCACAAAAAAGTGGAGAAGCTTGTTCTCTAGGACTGTTAGTGTGACTGGTCTCTTACCGGGTGAGAGCAGGAATTGATCTTTAAACACGACCCAGCAAGGCACGGAATGGATTCAGCATCAGTCATTTGGTTCCTTATGAGACATGTTTTTAAGGAAAATGTTTCTTCCTTGTTATTTTCATATATAAATATAGCACAGGCATTCTATTAAAAGACAACTAGCCATATAGTTCTGATTCCATCCTGAGCTTCTCAACAAGAATGTACTTCTTATATTCCTATTTGTGTGTTAAACATTTATTGAATTCCAGTTGCTGATCTATTTTGCTGAATATCACAGTGCTCTTTTCCAAATTAAATAGTACATAGTGCAATATTAAGCTGATAATTCTTTTAGCTCACTGTGTTGAGTAGTGTGAGTATTATGATTTTTAACAACATAGAAACTCCCTCAAAATATTTCTAGACTTGCTTGAAATAACTCCCAGTTCCAACTGTGACATTGTACTGGTAACTGTGGATAATTCTAATCTATAAATCACTGTTACTATTTTCATTGGCTTCTGTGGGTAAACTCAAAATAGTGGGGTCAGCAGGTAGCATTGGTTTGAAGCTTTTTAGGAGCTTAACATCAAAGGCTTCATTTTGCTTTAATTTTTTTTTTTTAAACCTCTGTTTTGAAACTGCAGGTTCTAATAGAAAAGGAGTGGATTGCGATGGGCCACAAGTTCTCACACAGGTAACAAAATAATATTGCCTTGGGTGAAGGCTTGGCTGAGGAACTAACAGAGGGCTTTCAGGGTCATGTGCTCCCATGAAAAATTTAAATGAAAATATAGGACGAGGAGAGAAGATCTAGAAAATACTGGAGTTGGTGACAAAACCAGCATCTGCTGGGGTTGTTATTTCATCAGTGCTTTTTCTTATTACATTACAAAACAATACAGCCTTGAACAAATTGAAATTCTGAGTGAGTTCCTACCTGTAAAATCACATTCACGTGTTATGAGGAGTGTTAATGTTAAGACTGTTAACTCTTCCGTTGTCATGGCCTGGAAGAAAATCTCAGCTAATGTTTTTTCAGGACTTTTACCAAGTTCGAAGCATAAACGTTAGCCCAATATACTGCTAAAATCCAATTTGACCCACATTCTCTAGGCAGATTAAAAATCCTGCCATTCTGTAATTGATAGCCTGCATCTAGTAAGGATTTTATCTTGAATTACTACTTGTTCTATTTACCATAGAGAAATTAGAAACTGAGATGGTCCACAAGATTACAAGGCTGGAAGGGACCAGTCTGTTAGTGATATTGGCTTGTTAAAAATTGAAGATTTATTCTTGATGTGAAACTAATTCCTGGTTTTAATAATAAAACAAATCTGTTCCCTTAAAGCATGTATGTTCCTTAAGGGTTTCCCTTCCAGTAAGGGAAAATAAGCAGTATGCACACCGTGTACTGGTATATAAGAAGAAACAGTCAAAGATAAACTGCTGTTTGTTTAGTTGTTGGCTAAATAAATGTTCTGTGGTCACTGTTTCTGCTTCTTTAGGGACTCTTTCCACTTTTTCTTTCCACTTTTTTTTTTATTCTAATAGTGAAGAAACCCTAATGGCAAGCAGATTCTTTTTTGGGTGACGTGGGATCTAACCCCATTTTGTTTGCATCCCTCTAGGTGTGGCCATCTGTGTGGAGACCCCAAAGAGGTGTCCCCTGTCTTCACTCAGTTCGTTGACTGTGTCTGGCAGCTCATGCAGCAGTTCCCCTGCACCTTTGAGTTCAATGAGCGTTTCCTTCTCGAAATCCATGACCACGTCTACTCCTGCCAGTTTGGCAACTTCCTTGGGACCTGTCATAAGGAGCGGGAGGATCTCAAGTGAGTTGGGCATTAATAGAGTCTAGAAGTCCTTTTAAATGTCAGAAAAAGGGCAGGTTGTGTTTCTTTGTGTTTTTAATGTAATTGTAGCTTGGTTTAAGGGTAAGTTGTGCTGATAGATGCTTATGTTCTACAGTGTGAAAAAGACTTCTACACTAATTGTATCCCTGAAGACAGATGTTTTAATCTGGACCACAGTAATAACTTGCAGATGCTCCTTTTTGACTGAATAGTGTCTGTTTTAAATGATGATGTGTTCCTCAGTGATGTATCTTGTGTTTATGAAATTAATCAGATAGTGTGCAAAAACAATTCTTAGCTCCCTCAATCTATTTCTCCCCAGAACACCTAGTGTTATTAACCCACTTAACTTGATTCCTTTTTTTTTTTGGTGATTAGTTGTTATTTGTAATTAACAGAATCTTTGAGAAGACCCATTCTCTGTGGCCTTTCCTCTTACAGAAGAAGCAGGAACTGAGAAATCCTTTGTACAAAGGATTTACAGCTTACAAAGAGCTTCAACCAAACACGTTACCTTTCAGTTTCCAGTAAGTTCCTCATTTAAGAAGGGGGACGGACGGGACATTTCTTTCATTGTAATCTAGACTGGTAATTCAGGTTTAATAAATTTTCACTGATTAGCATGGTTTGTTTTACCTTTCCCCTTCATTCCTCATCCATAAACTGAGAGTAGTGGCACAGAGGTAATTGCTAAATAAGTGCAAGTACTGTAATTAAAAAGAATATTTTTTTGTTTGGTGTTGAGAAAGAGGGAGGGGAGAGGCAAGGAAAAGAAGAACTTCAGATGTGTAGATAAGCAGTACACACCCCCCTGACTGCTTGCTCTGTCAAATTTACATGATGGGGTAGGAAATTGTTAGAGCAAGTTCCTCCTTTCCTTCTTTTTAATATATATTAAGGAAGTCTTCAAAGCAGGAGTTGCAGTGCCCAGTCACACCCAGAATTATGCAGTCAGGGTGGTTTTCGCAAGGAGGGATTTCTTGTTGCCGTGTCTGTTTGCTTGTTACAGCTGAAGTGGTTGGTTTGGCTTTGTTTCTGGCTCGCTCCAGTTCCCTGCTGAGCCAGACTGGAATGCAAATGGATTTTTAAGAGCTGTGTGTCGTTACTGGCAGGCAAAGCATTTTAATAAAAGTAGGGAGGTAGGGCCCAGTGAGGACTTAAGGGTGAACGGCTAGTGAGTTTGCTGTAGGAAAAAAAAATAATATTTTCATCTCATGCTAATACCGACTGCCAGTGCACGTGGGTCATAAGGCAGAAGTACTTAAATCCTCAATTTTTTTGAACTTTATGAAAATTTGCCCATTAATACTGAATTTTGTAATCCAAGGCTGCCACAGTTTCTAAAAATCAATTGCTGATCTCGCTTTGAAAGCTTTGTTTTTATCCTCAAAGGGTTATCTAGTTTGTTGGCTGGTAGTGTACAATTGGCCACCTAATTCTCTTTTCTTGCCCTGTTCTTGAGGTTTTGGTGTGGGATGTACAATCGCTTTGACAAAGGAATGCATCCAAAACAGTGTGTTTTGGATCATCTGCTGAGCTGCGTGAGCCAGAAGGTGAAACTGGAGGACAGTGCATCTGAACTGGAAAACGTGAGTCCTGAATCCTAATAATATTTAAAATCACCTGATGGTTTTAGGAAATATAACCTGCATTGAATGTTGGCACTGAACAATTGTTCACTGAACAACTGCTTCAACACGCTGGGCAGAGCTGGGCAAAATGAAGGGTTAAATGAGGTTGCTGTAATAAATAGCTTTGAGTCCCCCAAACTCTTATCTGCTCAGCAAAAGCTGGGCTGGGTCAAGTGCTGTTGCAGGCATGGGATTCTCTAAATGAAGTAGGTATTAAAAAAACTTCTGGGTTTCAACTCCACTTCAGAAAGCTTCAAGGAGAAAAGAATTTCTTTGTGCTCAAGGTTCTACTTGCAATATCCTTTCTAGGTGTATTAAAAAAACCCAATAAACCAAACCACGAACAAGCGTAAAAACCCCTAAAAATACAGTAGTGGGAGTAATCTAAAAATATACCAGTGAGACCCATCGGTGTCCTTTGCTAGATTAATTAATGGAATTAAAGTTTTTGGCATTCACATTAAACAATTATGTTGGTATCAAAGAAGTAAGAGTCTATGGGCATGTACTTTAATTACAGAGCTGAGACAGGCACTGACACAGGACTGTGGTGTTGACACTTGGCTTCTGTATATCCCTGACATCTGGGAATAACAGCTTTCAGTAATTTTTTCTTAATGTCTCTTTGTGTAGAAACTTCCTTTTCTTGATGGTCCTTTGCCCAGTGATGGTTGCTCCTTATCTAAAGTAGGACCCGCTGCTTCAAAAACCCCGATGGTCAACACTCCTCAGGGTTACGAAGGGGACCCACCTCCTGCCTTGAGCAACGGCGCCGCAGGAGGGGACGGGGACGTTCTCTCGGACGTGGACCAAAGGAACAAAGAGAACCTGTCTCCTCCCCAGGACCTCCCCAGCCACACCATCCAGGTGTCAGACTCTGAAATGAAGGAGGGAAAGCCTCGGCACCACTGATCCGTCCGCTGGGAGAACTGGTGGGTGACCCAGGCGAGGTGGTGGCGAGGCATCAGGGAGCTGTGTCCCCCCGAGGGCGCAGACCCCGCAGCGCTGCCGTGTGAGTAGGTGTTTGCAGGGAGCTGTGCTCGCTGCCCAGAAGATGGTTTGGTTCCAGTGCTTTGCTGCCACGATGACGAAGACGCGCACGGAGCTGCCCGGGAGGCTGCCCTGAGTTAGCACAAACCTTGTTTTTTTGGTGGAAGCACTATGTGTGTTGGAGGTTTGTGACCACCAGCCAGCGCTGGTTTTCCAAGCTGAAAGAAATCTTGGCCAATTAACATGAGGTTTAGGACTTGTGCAGTGTTTATAACTGGAGGAAGAAAGATGCAAACCGTTTATTCTCAGTGCTGGTACAAGGTCATCTTAAAATGATAAAAAATTTCAGTTCATCTTAAAATGAGGAAAAAAAAAAAAGTCTTTTCTTAGCTGTGAATGAATCTGCATGGACCCTCACCTTGTGGCAGAACTGATTCAGTTTTTTTTTTTGTTTCCTATGCATATTTGTTAAACAAAACACCCCCCTGTGCCTTTTTATGGAGACTGTTTTCATGTCCAGCCCCGCAATGTACTGTTTTTATTATTGTAGTGTAGAGTGTAGTACTTGGTCTTCTTTGTAGTCAGTATTTTTAAACCAGGTTTTTTATCTGCTGCCGGCTTCTCCAGGATCTTTGCTGACCCCCTGAGTTTAGTAGCTTCTGTCTAAGCCAACCTTTCAAAGAATAAGCTTTTATGGACCACATTTACTGATTGTGAGAGTGCAGAAAGCCACACAGATGGCTTGTAACACGTGAATTTTTTGACAGAGGGAGGATTAGAAATGAGAAAAGATAGGAAAAAAACTTGATGCAGAATTGTTCTCTCTTGTTTTATGATCTTGGTTAAATTGAAGGGAGTAACTCTTCTAAGCTGGAATCAGTGTGCTTTCCTCACATCCATCTATGAGGCAGTAATTAAAGATGAGGGGTGTTCCATCAGTGAAATGGGTCCTAAAACGATTGGTCACATCACGTGCTGAGTGTCAGTCGTGAATGTTACCTTGGATGTTAAAACTACAGGAACCTTAGAGAAGTTTTGTCTGTACTGTCAGGACATGGGGAGATGAATGACATCTCTCATGGCAATGAACTTTGTAATGTTGTGAAGCTGGTGACAAGATGTAAATTGGGATGTAACCCCTTATTGGAACCAGAAGGGGATGTCTTGGCTCATGGCTGTGGCTCCAGCTTTGAAACGGAGACGAACATTCCATTTAGACACAGGTCTTGTGAAGAAACAAGGGCTTCTCTCCCTGGGGAGCGGATGGCCCAGGAAAGCTGTCCCACAGCCCTTGTTCTGGACAGGCTTCTACAGATGTGCTTAATTGCATAGAGTCCCCTTGTGCAGTTTAATTCAAGATGCCTCTCTGCTTTCTTTTGCATCCTAGTGTTTAAATTAGGTGCTGCCATTTGGTCTTAAAATCAATTTTTTCTATTTTATGAAATCTTGAAACAAACTGAAAATACTTCCTGTGATTCCTCCTGATCTACAGTGAAAAGTAGGAACATTCCATTAGAGCATCGTAAAATGCAGTAGCTGTTGTTCATGTGTTAGTAGCCTATGGTGAAGTGACTATCAGTGTTCAAGATTAAAGTAGGAAAGAAAAAAAACCCAAACAAAAACTCCCCTGAGTGTCTCACTTCAGGTAAGAAAATACATATTTCATTTTAAGCCTATCAAAAGCCCCAAGGAAAAAGGGCAATACCTGAGAACACAGAGTTTCCTCAATGCCTACAACGGCAAAGAGAAACAGTTTTTAATGCTGCAGGTTTTTCAATCTTAAAGCAAGTAATATTTAAGTAGTTTTTAAAAAATAGTTGTTTTCAAGGCAGGACTGAGAACTAGAATGTGCGATTGATTTAAAAACTAAGCCCATCAAATACTTAACCAGATCTGCTTAAGCAGAAGATGCTTGAAATTTGTTGTGTGGGTACATATCAAAAATCCCATATCGTGCAACAACTGTGTATTGTCTTTTGAAGGCTGCACGTTTCTGAGGGCAGCTTGTCTTGCTCTCAAGGTGACTGTCTGCTCTTGAGTCTCTTTTGTTTCTAAAGAGAAGATCTGCAAAGCTCTAATATTGTTAGACAGTCTGCCAGCCTTTTAAGTTTGTCTCATCCATGTACTCCTCAGGTGAAGGGATTGCACCCTAAATCTTAATCCGGCTGCTCTGGACACCCAGGGTTCAGAATCTGCTGTCACTTTCCCTGGAGGCTGCTGGGGAGATGATTGATTTCCCTCTGTGTAGTGGTAAAAGCTCTATTTCTCGCCTGCACTTTGCAGTTTGGGGCCTGTTTCACATGGATCAACCCCATCTGTTAGTGTGCGTGGCTTCTAAACAGAGAAGATAAATGAGACCAAGACAGGCACTTTCTAGGACCAGTTATTTAGATGTCATCAGTTCTTTTAATGTGTTCTCTAATGAAAATTAGAGATACAGAATTGTAGAGAATTTTGACTGACTACTGAAGGGTTTAGACATGTCGCTTGTTAATCACTGTATAAAAGCATTTTGCAGAGGTTTCTATAAATGTTTACACATTGCTTTGTCTTTTGAATTTTAGATTACCTTGAAAGAAAGTATAATAATCCTTGCTTATCCCTAAAACGTGACACTGTCTCCACAAATCCTTCTTGACTACAATACTGCTGCAGGTGCACATAACCATGAAAAGATTACTTCAGACACTGAAAGTATTAGCAAGCTTGTAGTAATCTTGCTGCTTTGGACTTCAGTAACAAAATAATGGATGAGTTTATGCTCTGAAATGCAAAACCTAGCAAAAAAATATTAATAAATTAATGTTGTGTCTTTTATAAAGCTCTTGGATTTAACATAGACAGACGTGGTCGACGTCTGCAACGTATTAAAAATCCTTCGTGCTGGTGCTGTAAATTTACAGAGCTGGAAAAGATTTTTTTTTTTTAATTTTTCAGAGTTTCCTGGCTTTCTGTGTGAAAACCAATTAGCCGGGTGCTTTTTAGCTTTGTGTGTTTCAAACCCAAAACTGAGCAGCTGCTGAAAGCTCTGGAGCACGTCCTCAGGTCTCTGCTCAGCTCGGCCGGGCCCCCAGAGCCTCGCCGAGATCCCGCGTCCCCTCGTTGCGCTGACAGCGGTGAGTCCCTTGGTTGTGTGTTCCCTAAAACCCTTCAAGGAAATCAAGAGGCTGTTAGGTAGGAATCCTCTGAGGTGAGCACTGTGTAGCTGCAAAGTTCCTATAACTTATTTATTCCTCGCGGAGCATCCACGCCTTGTGAAGTCACGAATAACCGTTTGCTCTTGGGAGCTGTTCGGAGAACAACGCAGCTTGCTGCTTTCCATTTGGATCTCTCTACTGGGAGAACTGGGAGGGAGGAGGGATCCTGTTTTGCTGCGGATGGGCTCCATTTGTCTAAAACTCCTTCCTTTCCTGGAGCACCTCTCCCTTTACCAGGATACCCCCTGGTTTCCTGCCTGTACATCGTGTCTCTCTTGCTGCAAATGAGCATAGCCCCGCAGTGGGGAAGTGCCTGTGATATTCTGCGTTAAAGCTACTTACTTTGGGATAAAGAGGCACTGGTGTAGCTTTATTTCTCGGCTGAGATGTCTTAATGTGAACTTCACAATGCTGGATTCTTGAAATTGGATTTTTGTTTGGCAAATTGTCGCCTGTGGTAGAGAAAATCCAATTGGTGCTGTTTGCTTTACAGGAAAAGGAATAACTGGTTTGTCCATAGATGTTGTCCATAGATGGCCCTCTCTCATGGGAGAGAGAAAGCAGTTTGCTAAAGCCTAGAGGTAGAATATACTTCTTGCTGCACATTTTCTTCCTGCTCTTCTGCCTTTCATTTAAGTGCTTAGGAGAAAAACCCACCTGCTCTGTGGGTGCTGACACAAGGCCGCCCTGGCTGGGGCGGAGGAGACGTGCTGGTGAGCTTCAGCGAACTTCCCAAGCCTTGCTGGGACCTTCATGGGATCCCTGCCCTCAGTTCCATCTCACTGGGTCACAGCTGGGAATCTCTGTGTTGAAGCACTTGGTGGCTGCTGTTTCCAGCAGGTTTGGAGCTCAGAAAGCACCTTTGTGTCTCTCAAAGCTGCAGCACCTTCTGAAAAGCATTTCAAAGGGCTCTTGTGCCAGATGCTGCTTCGTGCTCTGGCCAAACTGGTCTGTGGGCAGCGTTGGTGCCTGAGGGTTGCTCCCCTGAAGGGATCATTTCTTGGCACTGTTTAATAAGGAGTATTTGTAAATGACCAGGAGAATTCCAAATGTGTTTGTTGCTCTTCTCCCCTTCCCTGCCGCCCTGCCCTGGGGTTGCTTTGTGTATGGACCTGGGACCTGCAGCAGTTACTCCTTGTTTACAGACCCTCCCTCAGGGCAGGGGGCGGGGGAAGAATCTGTTCTGAATGTCCTAGTCTTGTTTTAATTAAATTAATACACAGCACTTGATTTAATTAGATGAGGGATGTCCCAAGCCTGCTGATGTTGAAGTCCATGGTTTTGTCAGCACCAACTGCAGTTGGTGGCATTTGTTGGGGTGTTTCACCCTCCGGTGCTGCATCCCTTGGGCATCTCGGAACCACAAAAGCAAGGCAGAAGGAGGGGAGGTTACAAAGTTGACCCGTATCTCTTCTCTGATCACTTCTCTATGTGTATGTGTCAGTGTTTACTGTCACAGCCTACTGCTGGAGCCCCTTGTTGCACTGGATGTAGTCACAGAGCACACGTGTGTTGCCCTTCCTGGCGCCCACAAACTCCTCGTGGTAGGAACGTCCCTGAAACCGTGTTGTCGTGCGCGGCCGAAAATTGTGGTTTTGCTGTTTGTGTCAGTCAGTCGCTGTTTCTGTGGGTGTAAGTGTTGGAGGACAGTTGTGTACAGTTGTGGATGGTGAAATCACTTGTTCCTGAATGTGCCGCGATGGCTGTAAACATGTAACTCACTGTAGTTAATGCACTGCTTAAAAAAAACCCCTAATTGTACCATGTTTAGAGGAGCGCTGTGGCTTTTCTCTACGTGTATTTGTTCCAGGAAGTTTTCACTTGTATTACCATTTATTTTTATTCCCTACAAAAATAAATACCTTGCTTTTTTTAAAGTAAATGACTCGTGTGTGTGTTGATTAGTGAAACTCCAAGCAGGACTTCCCACTCTGAGATGGGAAATCAGTGAAAGACTCCTAAGGAGTGAGCTCATCTTAACCGGGAGTGATTCTGCTTCCCCTCCTTCTACAGAAGGGATTGGTTTGGGGGTTGCAGAGTGCAGCACTGGGTGATATTTGGACATTTATAAGGCTTTACAAAGTGCTTCAGGATGCCATGTGGATCACTAAATTCACGTGAATGGTATAAATCTGAGCCTGTGAACACGAGGAATAGACCCAAGACCAAAACCTGTTACAAGCCCTTGATGGGTATTGTGCATCCTAAAAATGGCTATTTCTTTTCTATGTATTAAGGCCAAAAAAAATACACCCCATGCTTGGGGATACTCAGTCCCCAGATGTTTCGGAGTCTTTTTTTTCCTCCTTGCTAATTCTAAATATTCTTAATATTGGCAATGAAATCTTTCATTTGCCTACGTTAGCCTTGCTAATTGGATTATTAGCGTTAACCCTGACTAGAACTGAAAAAGCTACAATTTACATTTGGGGGAAAACCTATTTTCTGTTTGACGGCGCCTTTGCTGAGGGATGATCTAAAACTTCCCTGTTGGAGCCAACTCTGGCTGCGAGGGGGCAGGTTCTGTTTGGAGGCAGATTGTGAAAGCCTCGTGTTCTCACCAGCTTTCAGGAGATACCTTACTCCAAGTAAAAATGCTGATCAGAAAACCTAATGGGAGGTGTGTGCTGAAAAATCACTGGTTTAAGGTCAAGAAGTGAGGAGCGGGCACGTGCTGATGTTGGGTTCTGTATTTCAGGTCCTTAATGATGATCATCTCCCGCTGGCTCCAGCGTGTCCTCGGAGGGATGGATCCCTGGAAAGGAGGTGGTGGGAGCAGGGAGCCGTCCTGCAACAGCGCCAAACTTCTGGGGCTCCGATGCTGCCGAAATTCATGGAATCATAGAATTGTCTGGCTTGGAAGGGACCTTACAGATCGTGTCCAACCATCGAGTCAACACTGCCCAAACCCAGCATGTCCCTCAGCACCATGTCTGCCCAGCTTTTAAATCCCTCCAGGGATGGTGACTCCACCACGTCCCTGGGCAGACTCTTCCAAGGCTCGCCAACCCTTTCCATGAAGACATTTTTCACAACTTTCACCCTAAACCTCCCCTGGGGCAACTTGAGGCCGTTTCCTCTTGTCCCATCACCTGTTCCTTGGGAGCAGAGACCGACCCCCCCTGGCTACAGCCTCCTTTCAGGGAGTTGGAGAGAACAAGAAGGTCTCCCCTCAGTCTCCTTTTCTCCAGGCTGAACCACCCCAACAATTCCTCGAGGAATTCCAGCTCGTGGAGAAGAAGAAACAGTCGCAGGATTCCTGGTTGAGCTCTAACTACATATTTTATGTGTTAACACACCCATTAGACTGTGAAGGGAGCTGTTGCTGTGTGAGACCCTGCAGTGAAGCCCAGGGATGGTCCTCAGGCGTCCGTGCCCTCTCCTGGTGAGTACCCGAGTCACGGAGCCGCTGGAGAAGGTGACCAGCAGCACCAGCCACCGGTGCCAGCACCAGAAAGGTGCCCGCTGATGTTTTTATCGGCAGGGAGGGAACCTCCCACCTTCAGAAGCTTTTTGCTGGGGTTTGGCAGCGATTTGTGTGGTTCAAAGGTAGGACCTTTGAAGCACAGGAGTGGCCCCACGCGATAACTGCGCGTCTCCCGCCTTGAGGACCGTTAGTAAATCCTTAATCCCCTCAAAATGATTTATTTGGTACCGCTTAGCGCTAAACTTTTAAATCAGAATGCTTAGCGGTGTTAAATGAGAAAGCTCATTACCTCCTTTCGGCTGCATTAATTACTATAATCTCTTTAATGGAAGGAACTTCCAGGGATGGGATTTACCTTCCCAAAAAACCGTCTCAATTGGCATTAAATATACTCTGTCCTTTAATTCTTTTCCAATGGATGGGGCTGCTTTGTGGTGAGTGGGTGTGGGGTCAGGCAGAAGGTGACGCTCCCCCTGACTCCTCAGCCCTCCCCGGGGCTGGAAGTGTTGGGAAGTTTATCCCAAAGGGGACAGGCTTTATCAGCCACCTCTCCCTGGGCTCCCCTTTGGGCTCTATCTGGAGCTGCCAACTGAAACGTCCGGGCAGGACGGGCTGGACCGAGTGTCTCTGGCTGCCAGGGGAGCACCACGAGTGGGGGGGTTTGTGCTCTCCCAGCTGAGGGGGGGTTTATCAGCGAGTACCTCGTGGTTTTCTGCCTCGTTAGTGTTTGGTTTAATCTCTGCTCCTCACCAAAGAGCCGCTCTTGTTTCTGAGGTTTCTATTCTTGGTTAACAACTGAACAGCAGCAGCAATGACAAAAGAATACGCAGTTTATCACTAAATTTTCCATTCAAGGATTTTTCCTTTCATCTCCAAGTTCCCTTACAGTTTCCTACGTCTCATATTTTCTATCGTGTATTCATTTTGCTGTCTGTAGCCTTTTTTTTTTCCATGTTATAATGCACTGGCTTTTTTAATTGCTGCTTTTATTTCTGCACCTTGCTGAGGGGGTTTCCAGCCAGGCTTGCCTTTTCTGACCCCAGCATCCTCATTGTGGCTGCAACTTCTTGACGCTTAATAAACCCTGCTCCAATATTTATCACATTTCTCCTACTCCATAATTCCATTCATAGCCTTGACTTTGGGGAAATGGACCTTTTTGAAGTGACAATCTATTTTTGAGTGAATTTGGAGAGAGCGAAACTGTGAGGAAGCCAGAAGTCTAAAACCTCCCAATGTTTAACATTTTCTTGCTCTCTCCGCTTTTCACAGCGCGGCTACAAACTGCGTGTGGTGGTGACGGCGGGGACATCGTGAATGTTTCCCAGAGCCCCCTGATTTTACCTCTTGCAGCAGTGGAGATCTTTCTGCTGGATAATTTGCCTCCCCTCTCGTTATCTGGTACTGCTGATAACGCTGCCTCAAGCTCTCCGACCGCTCCTGCTCCGCCGCTGAAGAGTTTGGAGAAGGTTTAGAGGGAACTGGAGAAAATAGGATGACACTTCCCAGCTGCCAGCTCCTGATAAGAGCCCAAGCACTGCCCCCCACTTGTTTTCTCTGCCCCTGCAAAGGGTCCCACCTTGTGATGTGCTGCTCAATTTTATGAAGCCAAAGCAGCGGTTTGTTCTGGGAGGGAAGGTGAAGATGCGGCTCAGGTGAGAAATTCTGGGCCTTTTGCAGTGCTTTTGTCCTTCTGGTGTTCAATACATAACCCTGGATGTTGTGAATGAGCATTTCTATTGCTCTGAAAGTGAGAAAAGCAGTGGGGAGGGGGGTTCAGAGGGAATCCTTTTGGGTGATGGGCAACAACCGGGATAATGTAGGGGTAGGGGATGCGCTGCCCTGCCAGGGGACTGGAATCACCCCTGATTTCTGCAAGAAAAGGGTAAAACAAACGCTTTGTGGCTGCTGGGATGGCTCAAGAGGCCCCCAGCACCTGTCCCAGCCTCCCCCCGCCTGGCTGCCCCTCTCTATATTTACCCAGGGGAGCTTTCCAAGAATGGAAGTGGGTAAGATAAAACCCCTCAGGGGCTAAAATTAGCCCCATGGCCCTGGCCCTTCTCCCCGCGGTGGCATTTCAGCTGTGAGTGTGACAGCCTGCCTCGCGGCGGTGGCGCAGAGCGGACGGCCAGCCCTGGCCCAGCAAGATCCTCGCTCTTTCTCTCCTGGTTTTTTGTTTGTTTGTTTGTTTTTTGAGGTTTAAACCGAAGGAGAACTCACCATGGGACCACCACGGCCTCCTCCGCCCTGGCTGTGAGCATCCCCTGCCTCCCCAAGGTAAGGCAGCAGCAGAATGGTGACCAGGCAGCGCTGGGCCATTGAAGGTAACTGGGCAACCAGCTGTGAGAGCCTCAGTGTGTTCTCTGTCCCCTCTAGCTCCCCTCAGGGCCTTTTTTTTGGGGGATTTGCCTGCAGATGCAGATCTAGCCCATCTTGCTGAAGATGTCCCTGCTCGTTGCAGGTGGGGGTTTGGGCTCTTCTGGCTGGGGAACATCTGTGAGGTCCCCGAGTGAGTGCTTACGCTGCCAGAGCAACCTCTGGAGATGCTCTTTGTGGCCTCAGGAATGTTACAGCTGTTTTTTTTTTTTTACTTTTCCAGACCATTTCCCTTGGGAATATAAGCAGGCCATCTTTTTGAATCGAATCTGTAATAACCCCCCCCACCCCATTAGCCACGTAGGTTGTGGTGTTCCCAAAGCTCCAGAGCTCGTTAACATGTCTAATGAGTAATGGTAATGTTACAATTTTACATATTTCTATAGAAATAGTCTGGGTCAGTGGAAGAGGTGGAAGCGCAGCAGAGCTCTGCCATCGCTCGCTGCCGGCGAACTCGCCCTAATTAAATGAGATGGGACGGTGGCCTCGCGTGGGGGGATTCCTCCGGACGGATGTGGGGTGAGCCTCCTGTGGCTGCCTCGTTACCCGTTTGCAGAAAGAAGCTAATTACTCCGTGCAGCTCCTCACCTCCTCCAAGGGAGGACCGGAGGAGCTGCTGGGGAAGCCGGAGCTCTCCCTGAGGAAATCCGAGCTGCCACGGGGCTGTGACAGGGCGAGGAATTCCTCTGCCCTTCCCCGTGGGGCCATCACATTCCTCCTCCTGCTGCCTCTTTGGCCACGGTGAGGCCGCATCCTGCACCAGGCACCCCCAAACCTGTCGGGGCTCAGACCCAGCTCTGCTGTGGCCAGCTCAGCATCCCATTCCTCCCACCACCCCTGCTATAAAATTCCCAGATCCTTCTTGCAGCCGCGCTCCTCAGGCTGGAGGAGGCAGGAGAGAGGAGAGGGTTCGATGAATTCAAACACTGAGGTCATTTGGGGAAGGGTGATGCTCAAAGCCCTTGGTCAAACCAGCCACCTTCGCATCCCCTTCACCTCCTGTTCTGAAATCCAGTCCCTTTAAAGAGCGGCAGAGTGTAAAAATCTCCTAAATTAAAACTCCTCCCAGTTTTCCGTGGGTCCCAAAATACTTGGAAGTGCGGGTGCTGGTGGGGCTTCCCCCAGAAGCCTTGGCTGGTCCAAAGCAGAGTTAATTCGTGCTGTTTTCCAATGTGCTCTTCCCACAGAGAACAGCTGGATGGGGTGACTTCTGCAGGTTTTGGGAAAAATGGGTGGCTTTGACCACCAGTGGGGTGCAGAGTCCTTGCGGGAGCCTGTGGCCACCCAGGACCCCTCCTGAGCCCAAGGTGTGGGTGTCCCACGCGTAGTCCCACCCTGGGCGAGCAGTACAGCATTCAAGAAATTAAAAATATAAAGCAAAAGTCTTATGAGCTCCCTCGTGTAGCGTTTGAACTCCAACACCAGATTCAATTATCTTGGCATCTTCTTAATTACAACACTTTAAGGGGAGGTGGCCCACGGACCTCCATCTTTGCCTTCACCAGCATGGATTTCCTTACCCACAGTGACAGGTGATAGGCACGTCAGCAGCATCATGATTTTTGGGGGGAACCTTCCTTAAATTGTGTATAAAAATAAATAAATAATTAAAAAGATGGTGTTGGTATCAGGGGGATGGTTCTAACCCAGTGGTGGTGGTGTTTCTGTTATCCCGTAGACCTTTGGCTTGACCTTTTACGATGAAAGCGGAATACGGGAGACAGACCAAAAGAAAATGAGCCTAATGGACATCACTAAAATGTTCTCCATGCTCCAGCCCAGAGAAGATGAAGAAGACAACGGAGAAAGCGAGGAGCTGAACCGAGCAGTATCCGAGGACAACTACCAAACCCTGGATTACCTCTTGTCCCAAGACAGGTACAAGAGGGTCATCAACCGCAGGAGCGGCTGGGGGGTACCCAGCACCCCCCTGCGCCTGGCTGCCACCTTGGGCCACGTCAGGAGCATGAAGGTCCTCTTGGCCCACGGGGCTGAGGTGGACAGCCTGGACGTGAAGGCCCAAACCCCGCTCTTCGTGGCGGTCAGCAAAGGCCACCGGGAGTGCGTGAAGGTCCTTCTGGAGGCGGGGGCCAGCCCGGTGGGCAGCATCTACAACAACTGCTCTCCGCTGCTCATCGCCGCCAGGGATGGGAACGTGGACATCCTGCAGCAGCTCCTGGACCACGGGGCGGAAACCAACGTTCAAGCGCGACTGCCCGAGTGGGCTGCCAACTCGGTGGCTTGTTCTGGTCCCCTCTACTTCGCCGCCGTGTACAGGCACCTGGAGTGCTTTAAGATGCTGCTGCTTTACGGCGCTGACCCCAACTACAACTGCACAGAGGAGAGGGTGATCGCCCAGATCAAGGAGCCCAAGACTCTGCTGGAAACCTGCCTGAGGCACAGCTGCCGGAGCGAGTTCATCAAGCTGCTCATTGACTTTGGAGCCAACGTCTACTTGCCCAACCTCACGGTAGGCGAGACGCAACCGCGCAGCGAGGGCCTGGAGCTGCTGCTGCAGGCAAGAGGTAATTTGTGTGAGTGGCCCCGGGGCACTAATTGTGCTCGTTTGGGTGCAAGTTGCTTCAGATTCCCCTTCCCTTTGCCTCTGCTTCCCCACAGCCTTACCCAGGGTGTCCTACAAGCTTCATCTCCCTTTGCAGCATCACTTGAGTGCGTGGGTCTCTCTAGGCTTAAACTCTCAAGTATTATCACTATTTTACTACAAACTCTTAATCATCCCTCTCCCCCAGTGACTGCTGTGTTCAGGCCAAAAAATCCCAAGTCTCCAACACTGAACATGTCAAGAGAAGGACATCACAAGGTCATGGAGAACAGGTCCACCACCAGTGATGAAATCTGGTGGCTTGGATCCATGCGCTACCGCAGGAAACTCCTAAAACAAACTGCTGGGATTTGGGGAGAGTGTGACGGGAGGGCTTGTTTCTAATAAACACCCACCAAATACACCCGATTTCGGCCGCTGGGTGTGGCTGGAGGCAGGCTGCCTTGGCTGGGGTCTGGGGTGCGACTCGGCGCAGCCACCACCTACATTTATGTCATTATCACCCTCTCAGACTCACTGCAGCATCTGCTTTTCATCAGTATTTCTAGATACTAAAGAAGCTGCTTCCAGAGAGGGCCCTCAGTGGTGGTCTGGAGCATGGGGATGGTTCTGCAGCCTGGTTTTTCCACTTAATAGAAATCTGTTGGGTTAAAGGCTGCTTTTTTTGTCATTCCTCTCCTTCCTGCTGCTCAACTGTGGCTCCCCTGTGCTGCCGATGACCAGAAAAATTGCACTTATTTCCATATGATGGTGGAAGATCTCATCTCAACGCCCAGCTCCCATGAACCGCCGCTGGGAAGCTCGTGGCTCGATACACGGTGCAACCAGCCCTGGCGAAGACGTTGAGTTTTGGTCTGTCTTGAAGGTGACCACCTCATTTTTCCTCCCTCTCTTTTCGCAGCTCACCCCAAGTCCTTGATGTCTCAGGCCCGGCTGGTGATGCAACGCCTCCTGAAGCAGGCTGGTCGCCCGCACGCCCTCGGGGAGCTGGAGATCCCCACCGTCCTGGTGAACTACCTCCGCCACCAGCCGTGAGCACACGCTGCTGGAGATACTGCCCCAAGCACACCTCAAATTAAAAGCTGCTGTGGCACCTCCGTGCTGTGGAACCACCACAAATTTGTGGTTGTAAAGAGTAATTTTTGCTCACGAGGGGTCTCCAAAAAGTGATGCCCACGTGGGGGGACAGGAAGGGAAAAAACAGAGGAGACCTCAGCTCCGGCTCCGCATCAGGGTGACGTTTAGCTGGGTTTGGCTTTAAAGCCTTTTTACTGAAGGATTTTAACACTTTTAATTGCTGCTGGTTGGAGAAGGGGCTGGGAGAAGGTGCGGAGGGAGAGGAACAAAGGCTGCTTTTACCTCCTTCCCTCCGGGGACGCTCAGGAAGGAGGGAGGCACCACCAGGCTTTGTGCCTTCGGGTTTCCCCACAGCGTGGCCTCGGCTGCCCCTAAATCCCCTTTCCTGGAACCATTTCCAAGTGCCTCCTCCCTTCGGCACCCTGCTGAGGGCTCCAGAACACCCAGCCACCCCATGGCCACCTTGTCACCATCCCATGGCCACTCCTGACCCCCAGGACGGGGGTGCAAAGCCCATCAGGGGCTGGGATGTGTATCCAAAGGCTGGAGCCCCCAGACTCTTATCTCCTTGCCCCAGCTCCGTCTTGAAATATCATCTTGTTGTCCTCAAAAGTGGTTTCTCTTTTGGCCGAGGGGTCTTTTGTGATTGGGCAGGGGTTTTTTTAAATTTAATTAAAAATGTTCCTACCGTTCGTATTAAACTATCGCGAGTCGTTTGGTGAAATATCCTTTAATGGGATGAGCTCGGTGGCGCATCGTTTGGAAGGGATGGAGGGAAACGCTGCAGCTGGGGAATTTCAGGCTCAAACCACCCCCTTGGTGGGTCAGAGAATCATAGAATTGGCTGGGTTGGAAGGGGCCTTTCAGATCCTCCAGTCCAACCATCAACCCAACCCTGATAAAACCATCACTAACCCATGGCTCTAAGTTCCATGTCAACCCGGCTTTTGAACACCTCCAGGGATGGTGCCTCAACCCCTGCCCTGGGCAGCCCATTCCAAGGCTTCATAACCCTTTCTGTGTACAAATTGTTCCCAATCTCCAACCTGAACCTCCCCTGGGGCAACTTGAGGCTGTTTCCTCTTGTCCCATCACCTGTTCCTTGGGAGAAGAGACCGACCCCCCCTGGCTACACCCTCCTTTCAGGGAGTTGGAGAGAGCCAGAAGGTCTCCCCTCAGCCTCCTTTTCTCCAGGCTGAACACCCCCAGCTCCCTCAGAAGTTCTCCAGACCCTTCTCCATGGTCTCCAGACCCCTCACCATCTCTGTTGCCCTCCTCTGGACCCGCTCCAGCCCCTCAATGTCTTTTTTGACATCTCTCTTGACCAGCGATGGGGACAACCACTGGTGGTGGCCGGAGAAACACTGAATTTTTGCTCACGAGGGGTCTCCAAAAAGTGATGCCCACGTGGGGGGACAGGAAGGGAAAAAACAGAGGAGACCTCAGCTCCGGCTCCGCATCAGGGTGACGTTTAGCTGGGTTTGGCTTTAAAGCCTTTTTACTGAAGGATTTTAACACTTTTAATTGCTGCTGGTTGGAGAAGGGGCTGGGAGAAGGTGCGGAGGGAGAGGAACAAAGGCTGCTTTTACCTCCTTCCCTCCGGGGACGCTCAGGAAGGAGGGAGGCACCACCAGGCTTTGTGCCTTCGGGTTTCCCCACAGCGTGGCCTCGGCTGCCCCTAAATCCCCTTTCCTGGAACCATTTCCAAGTGCCTCCTCCCTTCGGCACCCTGCTGAGGGCTCCAGAACACCCAGCCACCCCATGGCCACCTTGTCACCATCCCATGGCCACTCCTGACCCCCAGGACGGGGGTGCAAAGCCCATCAGGGGCTGGGATGTGTATCCAAAGGCTGGAGCCCCCAGACTCTTATCTCCTTGCCCCAGCTCCGTCTTGAAATATCATCTTGTTGTCCTCAAAAGTGGTTTCTCTTTTGGCCGAGGGGTCTTTTGTGATTGGGCAGGGGTTTTTTTAAATTTAATTAAAAATGTTCCTACCGTTCGTATTAAACTATCGCGAGTCGTTTGGTGAAATATCCTTTAATGGGATGAGCTCGGTGGCGCATCGTTTGGAAGGGATGGAGGGAAACGCTGCAGCTGGGGAATTTCAGGCTCAAACCACCCCCTTGGTGGGTCAGAGAATCATAGAATTGGCTGGGTTGGAAGGGGCCTTTCAGATCCTCCAGTCCAACCATCAACCCAACCCTGATAAAACCATCACTAACCCATGGCTCTAAGTTCCATGTCAACCCGGCTTTTGAACACCTCCAGGGATGGTGCCTCAACCCCTGCCCTGGGCAGCCCATTCCAAGGCTTCATAACCCTTTCTGTGTACAAATTGTTCCCAATCTCCAACCTGAACCTCCCCTGGGGCAACTTGAGGCTGTTTCCTCTTGTCCCATCACCTGTTCCTTGGGAGAAGAGACCGACCCCCCCTGGCTACACCCTCCTTTCAGGGAGTTGGAGAGAGCCAGAAGGTCTCCCCTCAGCCTCCTTTTCTCCAGGCTGAACACCCCCAGCTCCCTCAGAAGTTCTCCAGACCCTTCTCCATGGTCTCCAGACCCCTCACCATCTCTGTTGCCCTCCTCTGGACCCGCTCCAGCCCCTCAATGTCTTTTTTGACATCTCTCTTGACCAGCGATGGGGACAACCACTGGTGGTGGCCGGAGAAACACTGCTGGCTCTTCCCACAGCCGGGAGCCGAGGGACACCCCCCGCTGCCCGCCGGGGCTCGGGACAGGGCTGCGGCGGGCACACCTCTTGGTGTGGAGCTCCTCTGCAGGAGGAAGAGCTGGGCTGGACGATGTCACCCATGATGATGGTGGCAGAGGATGGAGCCAAGCTCTGCCCCGTGGTGCCCAGCGGCCACCGGGCACAGCCTCAGCCACTGGGGGGTCCCTCCGAACCTCACTCCGGGGGTGATGAAGCCGGGAGGTGGTGGAGCCTCCATCCCTGGAGATGCTCAGGATCCTGGTGGCCTGGAGCTGGTGACCTCCGGTGGCCCCTTCCCGCCGGTGGCGGCTCCTGGGGAAGGGGGAGGACACCACAAGCGGGCCCTGTCACACCCGCACGGGGCCCGTGGGGCTCCGGGGTCCCCAAAACGCGGTGGCACCGGCACC